CTTCTTCTTCTTCTTCTTCTTCTTCTTCTTCTTCTTCTTCTTTCTTCTTCTTCTTCTTCTTCTTCTTCTTCTTCTTCTTTCTTCTTCTTCTTCTTCTTCTTCTCTTCTTCTTCTTCTTCTTCTTCTTCTTCTTCTTTCTTCTTCTTCTTCGTCTTCTTCTTCTTCTTCTTCTTCTTCTTCTTCTCTTCTTCTTCTTCTTCTTCTTCTTCTTCTCTTCTCTTCTTCTTCTTCTTCTTCTTCTGTCTTCTTCTTCTTCTTCTTCTTCTTCTTCTTCTTCTTCTTCTTCTTCTTCGTCTTCCTTCTTCTTCTTCTTCTCTTCTTCTTCTTCTTCTGCTTCTGCTTCTGCTTCTGCTTCTGCTTCGTCTTCGTGTTCGGCTTCGGCTTCGGCTTCGTCTTCGTCTTCGTCTTCTTCTTCTTCCTCTTCCTCTTCCTCTTCCTCTCCCTCTTCCTCTTCTTCTTCTTCTTCTTCCTCTTCTTCTTCTTCTTCTTCTTCTTCTTCTTCTTCTTCTTCTTCTTCTTCTTCTTCTGCTTCTCCTTCTCCTTCTCCTTTATGTATGTATGTATGTGTGTGTGTGTGTGTCTGTGTGTCTGTCTGTCTGTCTGTCTGTCTCTCTGATCTGTCTGGTCTGTCTGGTCTGTCTGTCTGTCTGTCTGTCTGTCTGTCTGTCTGTCTGTCTGTCTGTCTGTGTATGTCTGTCTGTCTGTCTGTATCTGTGTGTGTGTGTGCGTGTATGTAATGTATGCATGCATGTATTTATGTGTGTGTAAGTGAGTGGGTGAGCGTGTGTATGTGGGTGTATGTATGTATATGGGTGTGTGTATGCACGCACGTGTTTTTCATGCACTTTACAACTCATGCTTCTGTGTTTTTTAATAATATTCATAATATGCATATCATAATATGATCATAACATGCTTTATTAGTAAAATATAACTGCTGTGCGAAAGATGGGCGACTGAAAGGGCCGAATGTAAGACGGGCCTGCGTGCCCAATTTGTGACCCTTTGAAAAAAAAGTTCCATTTGTTCGTTCTTCTTCTTCTTCTTCTTCTTCTTCTTCTTCTTCTTCTTCTTCTTCTTCTGCAGTTGCTCCTTCTCCTGCTTCTCCTTTGTCTTCTTTTTTCTTCCTCTTCTTCTTCTTTTTCTTTTTCTTCTTTTTTCTTTTTCTTTTTCCTATTCTTCTTCTTCCCTTCTTCTTTTTCCTCTTCCTTCTTCTTCCTTTCTTCTGCTTTTTCTTCTTCTTTTTCTTCTTTTTCTTCTTCTTCTTGTTCTTCTTCTTCTTCTTCTTCTTCTTCTCCTCCTTCTCTGTTTCCCCCACCTTCATTTTCCTTCGTCTTGTTGCTTCATTGAAATGCTGAGGGTGATCTAGCAATCTGCTATGTGTTCTTTTCAATACTTTGCATAAGTTCGATTTTTCTTGTTATAACAAACTATATCTAATGACGACCTTTGATCTTTTGCCTTATCGTCCCCTTGCTCTATGTATGTAATATTTCTTTAGCACGACTCTGCGTGGCAGTTGGTTCTAATCCATTCTCGCCAGTTCCAGACACTCCAGGAAGAGTGGGCAGCCATCCCACAGGCCCACATCTCATCTATATCCAGGACATGACGGTCACTGGCCCACCTCAGAGGAGACCACATACCACACTAACCTCAGAGGAGGCCACATACCACACTAACCTCAGAGGAGGCCACATACCACACTAACCTCAGAGGAGGCCACATACCACACTAACCTCAGGGGAGGCCACATACCACACTAACCTCAGAGGAGGCCACATACCACACTAACCTCAGAGGCCACATACCACACTAACCTCAGAGGAGGCCACATACCACACTAACCTCAGAGGCCACATACCACACTAAACTCAGAGGAGGCCACATACCACACTAACCTCAGAGGCCACATACCACACTAACCTCAGAGGAGGCCACATACCACACTAACCTCAGAGGCCACATACCACACTAACCTCAGAGGCCACATACCACACTAAACTCAGAGGAGGCCACATACCACACTAACCTCAGAGGCCACATACCACACTAACCTCAGAGGCCACATACCACACTAACCTCAGAGGCCACATACCACACTAAACTCAGAGGAGGCCACATACCACACTAACCTCAGAGGCCACATACCACACTAACCTCAGAGGAGGCCACATACCACACTAACCTCAGAGGAGGCCACATACCACACTAACCTCAGAGGAGGCCACATACCACACTAACCTCAGAGGAGGCCACATACCACACTAACCTCAGGGAAGACCACATACCACACTAACCTCAGAGGAGGCCACATACCACACTAAACTCAGAGGCCACATACCACACTAAACTCAGAGGAGGCCACATACCACACTAAACTCAGAGGAGGCCACATACCACACTAAACTCAGAGGAGGCCACATACCACACTAAACTCAGAGGAGGCCACATACCACACTAAACTCAGAGGCCACATACCACACTAACCTCAGAGGCCACATACCACACTAACCTCAGAGGAGGCCACATACCACACTAACCTCAGAGGAGACCACATACCACACTAACCTCAGAGGAGGCCACATACCACACTAACCTTAGAGGAGGCCACATACCACACTAACCTCAGAGGAGGCCACATACCACACTAACCTCAGGGGAGGCCACATACCACACTAACCTCAGAGGAGGCCACATACCACACTAACCTCAGAGGAGGCCACATACCACACTAACCTCAGAGGAGGCCACATACCACACTAACCTCAGAGGCCACATACCACACTAACCTCAGAGGCCACATACCACACTAACCTCAGAGGCCACATACCACACTAACCTCAGAGGCCACATACCACACTAACCTCAGGGAAGACCACATACCACACTAACCTCAGGGAAGACCACATACCACACTAACCTCAGGGAAGACCACATACCACACTAACCTCAGGGAAGACCACATACCACACTAACCTCAGGGAAGACCACATACCACACTAACCTCAGGGAAGACCACATACCACACTAACCTCAGGGAAGACCACATACCACACTAACCTCAGGGAAGACCACATACCACACTAACCTCAGGGAAGACCACATACCACACTAACCTCAGAGGAGGCCACATACCACACTAACCTCAGAGGAGGCCACATACCACACTAACCTCAGGGGAGGCCACATACCACACTAACCTCAGAGGAGGCCACATACCACACTAACGGGAAAGGCAATAGGTCTAAAAATTATCGTGACCCTGATGCAAAAAATTGAATGGTGAAACTCTAAGGTGTTCTTGCGTAAAATTTGAGTAATTTCACTTATTGTCTGCCAAAATTGTAAGCTTGTATGTTTCTTTCAATAGCTACGCGTTGCTTTATTTGAACAGTATATTCTTTTGTCTGATGACTGCTGTAGTTCTTCTCAAAATCTCCTACCTGTAGTACTGATTGTGCACTCATCCGTCTTCATAGACGTACGGTTTGCACTGGAGCATAAGGTGGGCCATAACATGTTTCTTGTTAGTTTCCTCCGTAGTCAGAGTGTGTTTCGGAAATCGTGCCCTCACACTTGAACAAATCTCTCCAAAAATTCCGTACGGATCAACACCAATTGTTTGCATGTGGCCTTAGATTGTCCACGGCCTTGTTATTTTATCATTTACAATTGCTCAGATGCTGCTTTGTTCTTATAGGGGCGAATTTCTTTGATCTTTAACTAATAATGTAGGTACCCATTAACAATAAAATATACTGTAATTGAGAAACCAGAGAATAATGCTGGAGGTAATTACCTGAGGGTGAAATGCATACAGTGTGATAGTTTGAAAAGTTGTCCTTACTCGCTTAACAGTAATCTTGCTGATTGTTTCCTTTCAGGGGGTGTCTGTTACCCCCCCCCCCCCCCCCGCCCCCTTCCCGCCTATATATCGCAGCTAAGGCCACATGAAACTCAATGGTTGTATACATTCTTACAAGGGAGTGACTGTAAACAGGTGCCATGTCAGATTTCCACAACCGACACCAAACAGTTTCTGTGCTACAGTTCTCTTTAAGTCGGGCGTGACTTCTGAAGCGGACTTTAGTTGCCATGGCGTAGCGCGAGTCTGCCAGACTTGGACAATAAATTTCTACTTTTATTTTCTGTAAGTGTCAATCAGTACACGTTAATTTGTTAATCATGAGAAGTGCGTTAGGCAGCCGCTTCACCCAGACATTTTGTTTCGTTTGAGAGTGCAGAAAGTGCGCTGCTTTTTAGACAAATATTATTTTGAATACTGCATGACGTTTCACTATTGTCTCCGCCTTGTTCGTGACATTTACCAGCTATAGTTAAACTTAGTTTTAACCTTTAACTTAACCAAAATTGCGCGCATCTTGATGAGTTAAATTGTTCTATGAAAATACTCGATTGTCGCAGGAGCCAGTTAGGCGGGGATGGACCCCGGCGAGGTGGGGATATGGATTCCAGTTGCATCTAATATGAACTTTGTCGATGCCAGTTCCACAAACATGATTGCGTTGTTATTATAATAATTAATAACTGAAGCGCTGCTATTCTGTGGAAGACTAGTAACATATCTTTTGGAAGATGCCAGTAACACTGTCATAGAGCCAGAGCAGTTAGCTGTCCTGCAGCAAGGCGCCATCTCCGCATGCACTTCAATGACAATGTTGGCGAAGAAACGGAGGCCATCTTCTGAAACTTGTGCAGTGGCGGGTTGTGTCCTTATTGTCTTTATCACGGTCATGCAGTTTCTAGTGTTCACACACAGAAATCGTTCATCCGAGCAGCTACGGGCCTTCCCAGGGCGCGGTCTGATGGGGGAGGAGCTTGATAAGCCGAAGATTCCCCCAAAGGAAGCCAGATTCATCAAACAGAAACCAGCGGCAGCCACTTCCATTCAGGCCAGAATACGGGCAAGGGCCAAAGCCAACCAAGAGGTTCGAGAACTGGAGAAAGCTTTGGCAAAACTGATCCGAGAGAACACCATGACACCGGAACAGTCCTATTCTGAGATTCAGAACCAAATTTACGCCTACAGAATCAAGAACATCATCCATGAGCTAGACAGACTGGTTGTCTCCCATCGTAGGCTCAATGATTCCCAGCTACCGCCAACACTGGCTTCAAACAGTTTCAGAACTAACATGGTGGATTTGAACCCTGCAATCCAGAGCGATCGAAGCAATCAGCTGTTGCCTGACACTAGCGGGCTACCATTAACTTTTCAGGCACAAGATGGTGCTCCGACAATGTTACGGGCGGCCGTTCAGATGCACTGGGATTCTAGACAAATAGAAAAGAACGATACTAGATCCAAGCATAATGAAGTGGTGTGGGGATTTCGCGGGAATATATCGACCGACAATCAGAGTAGAGTGCAGCTTCCAGAGGAGCACAGGGTCGGTGATTGGTGGATGAAGCAGAGCTGGCACACTCAAGCGTTGTGTGCGGACATTCCAGACACCTTAGGTAAGAGTTTGTATCAGCAAGTGTCACTCATTTTTGGGAAATGTCTGTCTTTCGCATAGGTCCAGTATATCTCTCTTGTAGAATGTCTGACTCACTTGGAGAATGTCTGACTCACTGGTAGAATGTCTGACTAACTGGTAGAATGTCTGACTTACTGGTAGAATACCTGCACCACTGATAGAATGTTTGTGTCACTGGTACAATACCCGTCTCATTGGTAAATGTCTGTCTTTCTGGTACAATGTCTTTCGCAGTGTCCATCTAGTTGAATGTCTGACTCAATATTTTTCTCGTTACTTGATTGTTTATCTCAGTGGTAGAATGTCTGTCGTTTCAAGTTCTGTCAGTTAAATAGATATCCCCCACTAGGACAGACCTGGTGGAAATTAATCCATCAAGGCAGACATTCTACCACTGGGACAGACATTCTACCACCGGGACAGACATTCTACCACCGGGACAGACATTCTACCACTGGTACAGACATTCTACCACTGGGACAGACATTCGAACACTGGGACAGACATTCTAACACTGGGACAGACATTCTAACACTGGGACAGACATTCTACAAGTTAGGCAGAATCTTTATGTGCATCAAGATAGACAGACATATTTTACTGATCAAGCAGACATTAGGCATGTAAATACACGTTTTACTAGTTTATTTGTAAATGGTGCGTTATTATATATATATATATATATATATATATATATATATATATATATATATATATATATATATATATATCAGTTAGTTGCGTATCCTTTACAGGACGTTGCAGAACCAACCCTAACAGCCCCTGGCTGTTGTGTGGTTTTCCCTAGGCAATTTACATCCAGTAGTTTGCCATTGCTCTCTCAACGGTCGGCTTTCTTGATACCACTGTCGAAACCAACGCAAGGCACATTGCCCGCAGCTGAGATCGAACCTGGCATCCCGGCATTACGAAGCGAAGCGTTCGCATCGACTTAGCCACAGAGCCGACGTATATATATATGTATAAAATACTTGTCTCAGTCTGGACAGGCTGTATCCAGGGTGAACTATTTAACTTACTGCCAGGTGTCAGTCTGAATGGCGAAATATGTGTACATTGACAGAGTTTCTAGTAAACTGTATGTCTGAATGTTGGAATATCTGTCTGATTTCTAGATTGTCTACATTACCTTTTAGAATGTCTATATTCCTTTCTTCTTTTCTAGTCTTGTAGATTGTCTACATTACTTTGTAGAATGTCTGTATTGTATTCGCTTCTTCTTATCTAGTCTTGTAGATTGTCTACATTAGCTTATAGAATATCTGTATCCCCTTCTTCTTCTTAGTCTGATAGATTATTTACATTACCTTGTAGAATGTCTTTCCCTTTCTCCTTCTCTAGTCTTGTATGTTGTCTACATTACATTGTAGAATGTCTGTATTCCCTTCTTCTCATCTAGTCTTGTATGTTGTCTACATTACATTGTAGAATGTCTTTCCCTTTCTTCTTCTCTAGTCTTGTATGTTGTCTACATTACATTGTAGAATGTCTTTCCCTTTCTTCTTCTCTAGTCTTGTATGTTGTCTACATTACATTGTAGAATGTCTTTCCCTTTCTTCTTCTCTAGTCTTGTATGTTGTCTACATTACCTTGTAGAATGTCTTTCCCTTTCTTCTTCTCTAGTCTTGTATGTTGTCTACATTACATTGTAGAATGTCTTTCCCTTTCTTCTTCTCTAGTCTTGTATGTTGTCTACATTACATTGTAGAATGTCTTTCCCTTTCTTCTTCTTTAGTCTTGTATGTTGTCTACATTACATTGTAGAATGTCTTTCCCTTTCTTCTTCTCTAGTCTTGTATGTTGTCTACATTACATTGTAGAATGTCTTTCCCTTTCTTCTTCTCTAGTCTTGTATGTTGTCTACATTACATTGTAGAATGTCTTTCCCTTTCTTCTTCTCTAGTCTTGTATGTTGTCTACATTACATTGTAGAATGTCTTTCCCTTTCTTCTTCTCTAGTCGTGTATGTTGTCTACATTACCTTGTAGAATGTATGTATTGCCTTTTTCTTCTCTAGTCGTGTATGTTGTCTACATTACTTTGTAGAATGTATGTACCAGACAGAAGTAATGGTGGTATCAAAGAAACGAATTATTTCTAAGTGTGTAATAAAAGTTGATGGTGTTATTTTAGGACAAGTACAGAAATTTAAGTATCTGGGCACATGAATAACATCAGATGAAAGATGCATAACTGAAATAAGAAACTGAATAGGACAGGCAAAAACTGCATTTTATAAAATGAAAACATCTTGTGCAATATATCCTTGTCATTAAGAGTTAGAAAAAGAATTCTCGCTTGCTACATACGTCCAGTTTTAACATATGGCTGTGAATCCTGGACAATCGGTAGGCAGGCCAAACAATTTCTGGAGGCCTCGGTGATGTGGTTTTACAGAAGAATGCTTAGAATACCTTGGACAGCCAAAAAGAGCAACCAAGAGGTTTTGAAAGAGGCGGAAGCCCGAAGACAACTTATC